TATGTCCAGTTTCCCCAAATAGTGGTGGTTTGTGCAGATAGTTGCAGTATGCTGCTCCTATGATCCAGTTATCACAACATATCTGACATGACTACTGACCCTCTCACTTTACCTTCCGTTACCCTTCCCCCCCAATAACTCACAGACAACCAAATTGTGGGTAAGGGCAACAGCCACAGCTTTCATTATTAAGCCAGCATAACTTAAACCAACTGTCAGCTGCTGGATTTTCCCAGCAGACAGCTAACATAACTTAACCAGACCAGGCTGCGACTCCCCAAGCCCGTCCGGGCACTGCTCTCAGTTCCACTTGCTGGCGAAGGACAAACTGCAGCTGTGAAAAAATAAACAGAAGAAAGAAACCAAACCAAACACATCACATATAACAATAACATATCCCGTGTTCACACCAACCCAGGGAGAGTGGGCGGGAAACAGCACTGCCAGGTTCCCTCAACGTGCTCTCCAGTGGTCTGGTAAATATTACCCAGTGTCCCCGGTCCAGGTGCATCCCAAACATTGTATCCACTTGTTGCCATGTCAACCTCTCCGGGTAGCAGTCATGCTCCCCCTCCTTATCCACTCCGGGGGTTGGCCTTGACTGCTGACCCTCTCACTTTACCTTCCGTTACCCACATTTTGGTTGTCTGTGAGTTACTGGGGGGAAACGGCCACAGCTTTTATTATTAAGCCAGCATAATGTAAACCAACTGTCGACTGCTGGATTTTCCCAGCAGACAGCTAACATAACTTAATTCTTCCAGAGCCTCTTCAGCCTGAAGTCCGTCCTCAACCAGACCAGGCTGCGACTCCCCAAGCCCGTCCGGGCACTGCTCTCCGTTCCACTTGCTGGCGAAGGACAAACCGCCACCGCAGCCGATCCCCTATCCCTGGAGAGGACTGCTTCCCCCCGAAGCCAGCGCCTGTTCAATGGCTGACTGTAATCCCAAATTAAATATATCCAACCCAATTTCGTTTAGGTGGACCCCATCAGCCCTCATTAGGTTTGAGTTGTTCCCTTCCAGCTACAAAGCCACTCAGCCTACGCACAAAACGTGAAATCGTCATGTTGAACCGTCGCCTGCCACGCTCCACCCCCCTGGCATGTGGCAGCGCCCCCCAAGCTGGACGAGGAATGACTTCAGACCACACCAGTGTGACCTTGCTGAAAAGTGCCATACAGCGAGCCAAGTCGTGCTTGCAAGCATAAATCAAATCCACTGCACAGCACCGTCCCAAGTCATTCCACCCGGCATGAAGCACCAGAACCACTGACCCGGTCACTAAGCGACAGAGCGCAACACACTCCGGATACACTTGGTGCCACCCCAAACCCCGTATCCCCCACCATCGAACCCTAACCTGCTCATGCGGGAGCCCTAGATTCCGGCCGTATGGTCTCTGCTCGGCACACCTAGCGGCCCATTAAATAAAGGAGTGACTGATGATCCAAACATACCAGGGGGAACCTGTAGAGAAAAAAACCACATCATAACTACCAAAAGCCTAACAGATGAGGACGAATATACAACTGAAACCTGCGGGAATCCCATCGACCCATGCGCTGAATTGCAGCATTGGACAGCCCTACCTGCCGCGCCTGCATTGCTGCACCAATCCAGAAGTAGTAGGGAGAGTATCCCTTATCCTCTATACCCAAAGCCTGCAAACCAGCCTTAAAAACACTGGAGAACTGAGACCGAGTTAAGACTGACCCATTTGCGTGAAGCAAGAAGGACTCCGCTGCTTCTGGCCGTAAACGTACATATTGCCCTACCAACGCCATCGGACACCACCTACCCCCAGTAGCACCAATGCTAAGTGACCTCCCCCGTCCTAACTGATCTGTTTTGGACTTCTGAACGAAAACCTCCACTCCCCTCTGCCCTGTGCGAACGTCCCCCCTCCGAAGAGATGATGGAGCCCTAGCCGATACGGCCACCAACTCTCCTATCCGCAGTGCGGTGTAAAAACACAGAGAAAAGTCCACCCGAAAAAGCAGCACCTCGAAGGTGGAGAAGCACACTGCAGAGAGAACACCACACAGAGCATCCAATAGGTGGACGGACACCGGCCGCCTACAATCAGGAACCCTTTCCTTCCTCCATCCCCGAAGCACCCTCTGGACCACAAACTCTTTTGAAACGTCCTCCCACCCCATACAACGCATTAGAAAGGAAAGAGCCACTAAACTGCTTTCCACCGATGCCACCGAAGCTGCATGCTCCCGTAAGGAGGACACAGGAAGAGGGGAGGATTTTGTGTGGGAGTGTCTGAGTGTATTGTACAAGTTTATTGGCTGTTTTCCAAAACCCTGTGGGTGGTACTAATGTGTATATAAGAACAATAAACCCACAGCTCTGTCTGTTCCTGCTTGACCCTCAAAACAGAGCCTTGTCTCGTTCTGGGGGGATTTATTGTATGCTGTTCCAGTTCGACTGCTAGGAGTGTAAACCTATTCGTATGGTTTTTCCTATTCGGCTGTTTACAGCATTCGTATGTTTGAGAGCATTCAATTGCTTCTCCGGTTCGGTGGATTGGTGTCTACAGTAGCTGCCTGTGTCTCTGGAAAAAGAAGATCTACTAAACGGCGGTTTAACCCTTTTATGCCTGGGGGTGCCGTTACACAGACACACACACACTTACTGACAGACACACACACTGACAGACACACATACAGTGGCATACATACCGTGGTCACTGGGGTCGCAGCTGCGACCGGGCCCATCAATCCATGGGTATGGATTGTCAGGGGGCCCGGTCAGTGCTGGGCGCTTCATGTATAATCCAGTATATTTCAGAAAGGGACCAAAACAAGATTTCTTTTAAATATCTATACCATTCTTAGTTTTCATTACTTGCACAGATATATTTAAAATTTTACCACTAGAGGTCACTCACATCTCACAAAATACAAATTGTGCATCCATTACCCACTCATTGCAGTGGTTTTCATGGCATGCGGCTTTTTGGCAGAGTTCATGTCTTCAGCTGTTTGGCTTCACTGATAGACCTGCAATGAGTTGACACAGCTGGATTGTGCTATACCCCAATGTTTAGAGTATTGCATTGCAAGGTGTATAAATCAGGTATCTCTAACTCTGCCGCAAAAATATGTTTCTGTACTACAACTCCCATGATCCCCTGGCTATCGATTGCATTCAAAGAATTCTGGAGGCAATTAACATCTGAGGGGTAAAGGGTGTGTGGAAGCAGATTCTGAGATCCCTGGTATTAACACTTATATGGGTAATGAGCAAGTGTGTTGAGCAGTCTTTGTGGGCTTCGAATCCTCCATTTTCAAAACACTGTTGGAACCCATTACCTTATTATTATTATTATTATTATTATTATTATTATTATTATTATTACTATTTTATTATTTATATAGCGCCAGAAAATTCTGTAGCGCTGTACAGTGAGTGGACTAACAGACACGTAATTGTAACCAGACAAGTGGACGCACGGGAACAGAGGGGTTGAGGGCCCTGCTCAATGAGCTTACATTCTAGAGGGAGTGGGGTATAATGACATAAAGGGTAAAAGTAGGGGTAGCAAAGTAGGTTGCTAGAAAAGTATTTACCCATGGGGGGAGAGGGTGATGAAAACCTGCTAACAGTTTAAATTATATGCTTTCCTGAAGAAGTGGGTTTTCAAAGATTTTTTGACGGTGTGGAGACTGGTGGTGAAAGTCTAACGGAGAAGGGAAGGGAGTTCCATAGAATGGAGGAATCTTGAAGGCGAGCATCAGAGGTGGGAGTACAGGCAAAGGACAGACATATGTCTTCGGCAGAGCACAGAGGCCTCGGCGGGACATACTTGTGTATTAGGGAGGATAGGTAGGGTGGAGCAGCATTATGTAGGGACATGTAAGCAAGCACCAGAATCTTAAATTGAGCCCTATATCTAACTGGAAGCCAATGTAGGGACTGACAGAGGGGGGAGGCATGGGAGGTGCGGGCAGACAGGAAAATTAGCCTCCTTGCTGCATTCATTATAGATTGTAGCGGTGCAATCTGGGAACACGTAAGACCACTGAGAAGGGGATTGTAGTAGTCAAGGCGAAAGAGAACAACGGCATAGACCAGCACCTTAGCCGCAAAAACACAAGAAAAAGCTGCAGTTGTTATGGTACTTGGAATGTCTCTTTAAAAGGTAGAAACGTTTACTTGTGGCTACTAGTTTGAATCATCACAATATGTATGAACATGTAATATTAACCTTCTGTGTACATTTGAGAAGACAATAAATTGTGACAACCTTTTCTGGAATATACTGAATTGATCGTTTGAAATAGGAGATGTAGAAAATAAAGTGCTTGTCTCCACTACTGGTTATAACTCCCTTAACGTCGGCACACGTGTGTAACGGATCACCTGGCACCCCGACTGGGTACCTCCGTTGAAGGATGCTCCTAGCGCTTCCTGAGGACTCCAAGCACTGCAGCAGACACCACAACCACAAAACCGGAGAAGCATACGAATGCTCTCAAGAATATGAATGCTGTAAGCAGCTGAACAGGAAAAGCATACAATCAGCTTACACTCCTGGCAATCAGCATACAATCCAATTCCCCCAATAACGAGATGACACTTCGTTTTGAGGTCAAGCAGAACTGACTGTACTGGCACATACAGCCTCTTTTATTCACAATCCACAAATATAGTACTGCCCACAGGGTTTTGAAATACAACCAACCAATCAATCCGTACAATACACACAGACACTCCCACACAAAATCCTCCCCTCTGCCTGTGATATGATTACTGAACACAATGGTTAATATAATTATCACAGGCAGAGAAATACAGTATTATAAAACATATCACAGGGACCCCAAAACATGCAATAACCCATAAAAGTATATCCTCGGAACCGGGGGATCTGGGTGAACCACATATCCAAAATTCACCCAGATCCGTTCAGTAGTTTGGAAGATACAGTTTAATGCAGATTCCGCAGAATATATACAGGCTATATGAAAAATAATTACTGTTTAATGTGTCCCCTGTTGTATAGTTTAAAACTACTGCACAATGTCTTTGTGCACCAAATACCGGCGAGATGGCACCGTGTAGAAAAGTCCAAACAGTGTCTGTGAGTTAAAATGCCCGCCATCCATTGTTCTCACCATGTGCTTCATCCATTGTTCTCACCATGTGCCTCTGATACATGAAATGGTGGCCACCCAGTAACTCCACAGTTTGTCTGGTAGTCTATCCAGCCAGACCAACAGATGAAACACATGGGAAACAGTGCAACAAACGAAGGGAATCATAAAAAATATGGACAATAGTCATATTTGTGCACAATCTCCAGTTTTGTCACAGGGCACAAATAGTGTTTTCAAATGCCATATATCCCAGGGCCATAGTCAGAAGGTAGGAGGCGGGCAAGCAGCCCCCTCCAAGAACACGTGGTGAGGTCTGTTCCGCCACAACGTGTTTGCACGATTGCCAGGGTATGCATTCATACTTTACATTCTAGTATACACGATTTGCATAATTGCAAATTACATTTGTTTATTGAATTAATTCAATAACCAAATGAATTTCATTAGCAAATTATGCCTTTAAACAATCCTGAAAGTCACAACTGGCGGCATTAAAAGCCACCAAGCTGTCCGCTTCATAGTGCTGAACATGTAGAGACCACCTGTGTTCACATCTCTGTACCAGTCTTGTCCTCAGAGCTGCTACAGTTCCTGCCTGGTTGAAGGGGGAGTGGACTGCAGTCTCTCTCCTCTGGTTACACACTGACATAACTACTGACCATTTTTTGACAGTGTGTGTCTGTCAGACTGTATATGTGTATATGTCTGACAGTGTATTTTGGTGTCTGTGTGAGTGTGTATATGTGTGTTTGTTTTTTCTGGACGTTGTATCAGTGAGTGTGTTTGGAATATCTGTTTATATGTACGTGCGCATGAATGTTTGTATATATGTGCCTGTATCAGAGTATGTATATACGTGCATCTATAAGGGTACGTGTGTGTGTGTGTATTTGTGTGTGTGCGCTACAACTCATATTATTATCATACAACATATATTATATATACATTTATTTATTACATTGTTTCCTTGACTGTTGTGACGAGAGCAATCTCGCCACATTGCATTGGAGAAGCCTGGTTGCTCGCCTGTTGCCTTTGGATTATGGCCCCATGTTAAAAGACTTCTTTTCCCCTGCAGAAAATGTTTATTCGTGCTTTTCTGCCCGGCGGTCGGTAGATTCAATCTACCAAACTGGCACACGAATGACTGGACCACCTGGGAGCTGGAGTGTGTCGGCAATTAACCACCCTGAAGCTGCGGTTAACCGCAGCTTAATTGATGAATGCTGGGTGGTCTTTGTTCGGTTGCCGAACACATGGCGGTGGCCATTTTAAAGTCCCGCGGTGTCCAGCGCCCAAACTGTGGAACTGTAAATGGACACTTATTTGCGCGAACACCGCTGAGCCGTTAGCCTCCTTGCTTCTGCATTCGGTCCGTTAACTGAATGCCTGTTCATTCGGTAGTTTAAACCGTATGAACAGCATTACCCCAGATAGCCATCCCGTGGAGTCTATTCGTATGGAGAACAGACTTTGTGAACACTTTAACTCCACGGCAACTGGACTGTGTGCATAGGATCTGAGCGCTATTCGGTACTTTTGTGCGATCGGATCCCAGCTATCTGGAGATGGGTTGCAAGTATATATTTTGTGTGATAAATGTAATACTGTGTATTTTATTGTGTTTTAGTGTTTTACTGTAACCATGTGGGTAATGGAGTTTTGCCACTGTCCTTGGAGATAATTGGATTACTTCCCAATTATCTCCAGGATAGAGGGGAGGTATTGTAATGTATTGGGGGAGTGTTTTAACCATGTCTGCCTGTGATTGGTCATTGTACTATTTGTGTCCCAGTCTCCCATTTGTGTCCACCAGGTGGGAGACCTGCATAAATACTGGGCAGGTAGCCCTCATTAAAACAGACCACTGCTTGATCCTCAACACGGAGCTCTGTCTCGTTCTTGGGGGGGATTTACTGTATGCTGATAGAGACTGATTGCTAGGAGTGTAAGCCGCTTGGGTGCTTTTCCTATTCGTCTGCTAGCAGCTATTCGTATGGTTCCAGTTCGGGAGTTTGGAGTGCTATTTTGTATCCAGTTCGGGAGTTTGGAGCATTCCCTTACATGCGGTTCGGGAGTTTGGTGTTCTGCAGTAGCTGTGCCTGTATCTCTGGAAGGGGAAGATCTTCTAAACGGCGGTTTTAATCCTTTTATGCAGAGGGTGCCGTTACAACTGTTAATTAATTATTTGGTAAATTATTCGTTTTTCTGTCCAAACTTTTTATTTTTGTTTTCATGTAATAATGTGCTATTCAAGCATGTTGAAACAAAAAATGAATATAAACATTACTTCCCAGGATACCCAAATGACTCTGATTCATTACTTCCCAGGATACCCAAATGACTCTGATTCTAGTATTAGCTTTTTTCCAAACTGCTTAGTAGTGAAGGGGTTAAAGGGACATGCATCACTTTGAGGCAACTCTGTCACTCAAAAGGATGCACTTTGAATGAGACAGTTGCCTCATTCTGGAGGTTAAAAAAGCTCATCTAACCTATCCATGTGCTATACCTAGGAATGCTGGAAAGGTGCACTGGGCATTCCTGATAGATTTACACATGTGTAGTTGGAAGTTCTCTTCACCTTGTAACAACCTGACAGTGAGAGAAGAGAGTCTGATCGGTGTGAGTCATGCAGA